TTGTGAGCAGGTTTTGGGTTTTCCCCTTTTCAGATCAAGGGCGAGACAGCTCACTGAGAGGCACAACCGATGGTGAAGGAAGAGGCCAACTGTAGTTAGCTGTTATAGGGTAACAAAATCACCCCAAAATTTAGCAGCTTACAACAACTTTACTATAATCTCACAGTTTCTGTAGTTCAGGGGTCTGGGTATAGATTAACTGGGTGTCTCTCCAGGCTACCTGGGGTGGACCTGCTCCCAAGCTCACCCACATGCAGCTGGCGGCCTCAGGTCCGCACTGGCTGTTGGCGGGAAGCATCAGTTCCTGCCATGTGGGCCTTTCCTTCCGTGGCCCCCCAGAACAAGAGCCCTGCCAAAGGGCGAGAGAAAAAGAGTGGGTGCCAAATGGGAGCCACAGTCTGTCTGTCTGTCTTTAATTAATAAACTTTATTTTGAGGGCAGTTTTAGAGTTACAGAAAAATTGAGCAGAAATTACCAAGATTTCGGTATACCTCCTCGACAGGTGCTCCCCCTCTTCCCGGCTCCCCTATTATTCACATCTTGCATTGGTGTGGTGCATGTGTTACATCTGATGAGCCGATATTGACACTTTGCTATTAACTGAAGTCCACAGTTTAGGAGGCAGTCATTCTTAGTGTCCATTCTGTGGGTTGGGACAAATGTATAATGACATGTGTCCACCAGGAGCACCACACAGAACAGTTCCACCTCGCCTCCACCCGTGTTCCACCAATTCATTGTTCCCTCCTTCGCCAAACAGTCTCTTTTGGTAGCCTCCTCTTGGAAGTGACATTCCCTCACCTTTGTCATATTCTATTCATTAGTCAATAGGTTCAGCCCCTACTCAAGGGGAGGGTGTGAACGCAGGAGGCAGAGATCACGGGGGACATGGACGTCACCAATCCCCACGGAAGCTGTTACACCCTGGAAGTTGTCTCCCTGCGGTGTCCACAGTGGATATTCATGCGGCTCACACTGGAACGCGCTGTTCCCAAGTCTCCCACCGGACGTCTGCTCACGGTGGGCGTGGCTTACAGCGAGCTGGTCACGTGGGCACATGCTGGCTATGTGACCAGCCTTAAAGGTTGAAACCCACCCCCTGGGCTCCACCAAGACCTGGTGCAAAACATGAACCCAGTTATGCTCACTAAACAGTCGGTGTGGCTGATCCCTTTTGGGCCAGAGCAGCTTGAGGAGCCACGGTTGCAGGACATTGTTCGTCCTTAGTTAACAGAGTCCATGGGGTGGCCAGGGTCAGCAGTTCTGGAGCTAAGTGTGCAGTCCAGCCACACCAGTTGAAATTAACTCGTGCTGTGCAATCCACCCCCAGGACCCCTGGTCGGAGTCTTAAAAAGGAGTCATTCTTCATCTGGAGGGTAATGGACAAATCTGTCTACCTTGCATTTCTTTAGGGAATTGCTCTGCAGTCTATGTAGCTTCTGTGCAGAGTCTATGACAGTCTGTGCGGTACCTGTGTCCAGCGGGGCGGCCCCCATCTCCTTCACTTCTCCTTTATACTCTAGGTCTGTGCAACAAATACTCCATTTCCTTGGCCACTGTGATTAGTCCAGTGATGGCTACATGCCCGTGCCAGCCCAGAGACATTCTGTGGGATTGATATGGGCACTAGATAGTAACACAGGGGTGACTCTCTTTTCTTCAAAGAACTACTGCAATGTCAGTGGCCTTCTTTGCAACCCTGTTACAAGAACCTGCCTGAACATGAAGCTAATACAGGAGAGGCAGAGGCAAGACATGGAGAAAGAGACACATTTTGATGACCCAGTGTGACCACCTGGATCCAGCCATGCCTGAAGCCACAGCTAACCCTGAACTGTTGGCTTTAGAAGTCAATCACTCCCTTTTGTCAGTGAGCCAGCATTTCATGGGTTTTCTATTCCTCGCCATTGGAAGAGTCCTCACTGATACAGCCTGAGTGTGAGAAAGATACTTAAAACTTCTAACCCAGCAGTGGTTTGACTTGGAGCCACTTCTGTGCTTGTGGGAGCATTAACTGCACCCCTTCCTCTATTCATGTCTTAAGTACAGACTCCCGTTTGGCTCCAGGCTACAAGTAGGCACTTTCTTGTTTGGCCCAAAGCCCCATCCCCAGAGACTTTGAGACTTTTGCTTCATTCCTCCTACATTCTCTCTTGCTCCAGACCCCTGTAATTTGTTTTGTGGTTTATCTGAATGATATCATATCTATCAGCCAACCACTGAAGGCACATTTCTTTGTGAAGCTCACCCTTTGATGAGGTGACCTGTACACCATCACCCAGGACAGTCTCTCCAGTGGCTATGTGACTACCTCAACCTAAAATACCATTGCCCAATACTCACAACACAGTGCTTCTCACTAGGGGCCAGGCACTATGCTATACGATCTATCTAATTACGGCACTTAATTCTCACAACAATGAGATAGATATTTGCATCTCTGTTTTCAGCTGTGGAAACTGAGGCTCAGAGAGGTTAAGCAAATGGCCTGAGGTCACACAGCTAGCATATGATGGGAAGGAGATAAATTCTTTGTGCTGTCACATCTCCTAAATTGAACCACTATCGCAGAATATCTCATGGCAGAAAGGCGAGCCCAGGCCACCCCTACCCCACCCCCAATGGAAGATAATGTAGAGTGACCAGGAAGGCATCCTGCGGCTGGTGCACCCTCAGACTCCATGCACTGCACCCACAGCCACGAAGGGTGACCCAGAGCACACAGGAGCTCTCCCACCCTCCGCTGTCTTTACCTTGAGCCCTGGGGTGCTGGGTGAGGTCCTGCGGTGCCTTTGCCCTCTCTTCCTCCCCATGGAGCCACACAGAAGCCCCTGCTCCTCGTCCCTTGAGTCCGCAGGCACTCATCAACCCGGCCAGCAGACAGGCCTCAGCACGGGGAGGGCACTCCTGTCTGCTGCAGGGACCCTGCCAGGGTGGCTGTTGACCTCCTTTCCGGGGAGGACAGAGCTCTTCCAGAAGTCCCCTCGCTACATTTGGCCAGGGCGCAATGGCCATATGCGAAAGCCTTGAGACTGGCCTTTCAAGGAAGGGCGAGAAGGGGCCTGTTCTGCCAGCTGGGGGCCAGCAGGGACCAAGCAGACCACTTTCCAGTGGTCTGTGGTGTTTTGTGTTGCCCTCCAACTTCTCCTAGTATCCTGCTCCTTGGAAGGCAGGGACCTCATCTTAAACCTCCACTCGGTCCCTCTCGGGCCCTGCATTGGTTGCACACAGGTGGCCGGTGCTACCGCCAAGACCACCCTCATGGCTTGGACTTTTTGGTCTGCATCTTTGTGTCTGAGGGTGAGTTCCCCAGCTGAGGTAGGCCTCCAGGCCCACAGGTGTGGCGGGCTGGAAATGCCAGGCAGGAACACCCCCCAGGCCCGGCACTCAGCCCCAGGCAGGCAGGCAGGTTAATTCTGGCCGTGTTTCCCCGAGGGATTAAGCCCCAGTTGCCCTGCATGGAAGTAGGTAATAGTGTCCCTGGCTTGGCTGTCTGTCCTTCCGTTTCCTCTCCACTGACCTTTCCTTCACCTCCCAAACAATCCACTTCCTTGTCGCATCCAAGTCCTTGTTGCAGGGCCTGCTTCTGGGAGAACCCAGGCTAGGAGGACACACGGTTAAACGTTTGTGGACGAGAAGAACATTAACTTTGGACAAGTAGTATAGCAGGACCTGTTTAAAACTTTGCTTAAAATGCCATTTTGGGGGCTTAGGGGAGGATCATGTTTATAAGAGGAACAATATTCCTTTTCAGACTTCTCCTAATGACCTCCCAGGAATGAAATTCTGGAACTCACTTATTATTATTTTTTGTATCCTCACCTGAGGACATTTTTCCATTTTCTGGTCAGGTAGAGTGGGAGGGAGAGAGAGGAACAGAGAGAGAGAGAGAGAAACATCGATGTGAAAGGGACACATCGAGTGGCCACCACCCGCACGACCAACCAGGGCCGGGGACAAACCGCAACTGAGGTACGCGCCCTTAGCGGGAACCAAACCCGGGTCTCTCTGGACCGCAGGCCGACGCTCTAACCGCTGAGCCAAATAGGCCAGGGCACTCACTTACTTTTTAATTTTTACTTTATTTTTTTATCCTCACCCGAGGACATTTTTTCATTTTTTGTTCAGATAGAGTGGGAGGGAGAGAGAGAGAAACATCGACGTGAAAGGGACACATCGAGTGGCTGCCACCCACATGACCAACCAGGGCCGGGGACAAACTGCAACGGAGGTACGTGCCCTTAGCAGGAACCGAAGCCGGGTCTCTCTGGACCGCAGGCCGACGCTCTAACCGCTGAGCCAAACCGGCCAGGGCTGGAACTCACTTATTTTGAAGACCACATCAGGGCAGGGAGTGTATTCAATTAAAAAAAAAAAAATGTGTTGCCCTGGCCGGTTTGGCTCAGCGGTTGGAGTGTTGGCCTGAGGACCAGAGAGTCCCGGGTTCGGTTCCTGCTAGGGGCACGTACCAAAAAAAATAAAAAGAATAGAGAAGAGAAGAGAAGAGAAGAGAAGAGAAGAGAAGAGAAGAGAAGAGAAGAGAAGAGAAGAGAAGAGAAGAGAAGAGAAGAGAAGAGGGCTCCAGGATATCTGGAGCGTTTTCCTTGAGCCCACAGAAGCATGCTGTGTGTGGAGCTTTCCCCATGAAATTCATGTAAGGTTTAGAATTGATATAATCGGCACACTATCTCTTTTTGTGTGTGGGGAGGGAGGCAAGTTACAGGCATCTAACTGTGATGAGAAATTAATTAACAAAGAGTTGCCAGCTTATTTGAGAAAAAGGAGATTCTATCAAGAACGTTGTTCATTGAATGGCTTATGTGAAGGGACTGTGGCTTTCGGGCAATTAAGGGCACCCTGGTGAAGGGAGGGGTTGGCTTCATCAACACACCAGACATCTGCTTCCTTCCGATGTAGGTCTGATTTCCTTTATTCTTCTTCTAACACAGAAACTTGTGGTGAGGGTACATGAGAAGCCTGTCAGTATCACAGGTGGATTTTCACTCCAGCAGAGGAGTAGCTAAATCGTAGTGTGGGAGCTTCGGGGTGAGGTTGCCTTCGAAGTAGGGACTGGGGCGGCCAGCTTCCAACGAGGGCTGCCTGCTGCCGGCGCTGCCGTCCTTGTCTGAGAGGTAGGCGAGGTTCTCCGGTGTCTCCTCGGCACAGGGGTCGGCACAGGGGTCGGAGTGGAAGCCCTTGAAGGCCAAAATCCGGTAGCGCTTCCTCCGGTTCAGTTTATAGATGCGAATCCGTTCTTTTTCTGCCTCTGGGTCGGCGAGGATTCCTTCCCAACGCAGGCTCTCGTTGATCTGGCTGGAAAGGTTCTCTTCTGTTTCGGCAGAGTGGGGGAGACTTAAAGAGGAGGAGAGAGGAGGGGTGAGCTTGTTTGTGTCTCTGTCCTGTCTGTGCTCTTGCCTCGGGCCATGATCTTTGCTGGGACTTAAGACGTCATGAAAAGAGGAAGACACCTGCTGATTCTTCAGGCCTCGACTCTGATGTTTATCTGCTGAGCAGAGGAGCAGTGTTAGCATGTGTGGTGATACCTGCCCTCACCCTGCTCGGGAATGATGCCAAACTCACCAAAGATATAAGCGGGTGGGAAGTGGAGGCCCCTCCTTACCTAGGGCTCAGGCGCCCAAGCCCACCAGCCTTGGCCGCACTCCACCAGCTATATGGGGAGGGAAGAACCACTTGTTGAGCGTGTACTATGAGTCAGGTCCCCTGGATACAGTCTATCAACCCTATTTTCCAGGTGAGGAAACTGAGACTCCGAGTCTCAGTGACTTGCCAATGTCACATAGCTGGTGGCAGGGCCAGGACGCGAATGCAGACCTGACCCCAGTGCCCTGTTCTTTCCACTGTGCCACGCTGCCCCCACTTCCCCACTCCACATGCTCACCAAGATGCTTGCTAGTTCTAGGGGTCTATGACTCTACCCCAGTCTAGACTTCTTTACGATGGAGAAAAGGAGAACAACAGAAACACTTCCTACATCTGACTGCGGAAAGCAGTGTTATGCCAAGCCAGGAAATACTTCTGTTATGTGGCTTGCACTGATTTTTTTTTTTTACATTAATAAGCATTCCTGAATTATATAACACACACATAAAACACCATAAGCTGTGGTTCTTTCATCAGCTTATCCTTCTTTTTGAGGGGAGAGGAAAATCCCCCTCAAGAAAGAAACAAAAATAAGAAGGAAAAAAAATCCTCTTTTGACATTTCTCTACCTTTCTACTCCCCCAAAACTATTTGGTGTCTCCTGCTGACAGTATGAGGTACATACCACTGTAATTTCTAGAGTCAGAAGCTAAGCCAAAAAGGCAAGAAATTTCCTAATTTGGTTTTGCAGTCACACACAGGGCTGTTGGACCTAACCTCCAGAATTGATTTCTTGCCTTTTTATTATAATTCCACCTGAAGAAGTAATTATAATCGTCCTATTGCTTCCTTCCCCAAACTTCAAGGTTGACACGGGGAAGGCTGCCACTCTTTCTGCCTCCAGCTTGCACACAAAGGACCAGAGCCCAGAACCTTGAACCCAGGACCAGCCACACTAGAGGTCAGGGCTGCTGTGCCAAGGTCACTGAGAGCCACCTTCCAGACAGCTAAAACCCTGGAGGGGGACCACACAGGTGACAGTGGAGACAGCCTTCTATGTCACTGTGCCATAAAGTGGGAGCTCAGCACCTTTGTCAAGAAATCAAGGGGTTCTATGAGAGGAGTTCGGCGAGAGGCAGGGACTCTGTGGGTTTGTGGCAGGTTTGGCGTGTGTAAGGCTGACGTGTCCTTGAGGAGACTGCAGTGAGAACTGCATGCATACAGCTGTATGTGTGTGAGGAACTGTGTGCGAAGGGGTCTATGCATGTGAGTGTGAAACAGTATCTGCATGTGTGTAGGTTGTGAATGAGTGTGCCTGATGGGTATCTGTGCTTTCATTTTATCTGGTGGTTATATTGACATGAGGAGGTGTTGTTGAGGATGTTTGGGCTTATAAAAGTATGCAGCAGTGGTTGAGGCGACGTGTGTGCCGTTGAAGGCTGGCCTGGTTGGACAGGGCAGTGGGGGACAGACACTATGGGGAGGACACTACTTTATATACATTAACTGGGTGTCTGCAGTAACATCCAGAGGCCAGGTACCCCCGAGGAATGAGGGAGCAAGGAGGGTCTCTAGGCAGATGGCAGAAGTCTGATTCTAGTGCCTTGGTCTCGTTGGCTTGGGGAACGTCTGTGTGACGACGAAAGGATCCCTGTAGGAGGGCTTGAGATTTCTGTGGGGAAGGTATGGACGTTTAGGATTGCCACCCAGCTGAGGGATTAGGAAACTGAGGTGTCTGTAAAGTTGAGGTGCTGTGTGGGGCTGGGAGACTCTGCAGGATAATGCTGGGTATCTCGGGTGGGGGTCTCCATGGAGATTGAGAATTCTGGATGCAGGATTGGGGTCTCCGTGCTCTTTGGGGCCGGGTTTCTATGGTCATGGATGGTTTTTATGAGCAGGGTGGGGCTTCACTGTGCATCGATACGTGGTGTGTGTGGGGGTGGGAGTTTCTGTTTCTGGTCTGGACTGGTCTCCACCCAGGTAGATGGGGGTTTCTGTGAGGGACGCGGGTGGGCGACCTTGGGGAAAAAAAAGCTCAGGTACAGGGGCTGAGGCTTCCGAGCTAGTTGTTCCTCTTACCATCCCCCTTGCCCGACCCCTCGGTCTTTTTCCTCTTCTTTTTCTTCTTCCCCTTCCGTTTGGTGGGCTCGGAGGCGCTGCTGGAGATGGGGGGCAGCCTGGAACCCTTCGTGCCCGCAGTGCTGCCCTCTAGCCCCTCGTCATCCTCGCAGTACCTCGATGCCCCGGCCCCACCAAGGCCGTCCATCCGCCCGCTGGACCCCACCTGCGCGGGGGCACAGCGCAAGTCCCGCTGCCGCCGAGCTCGGGGTTCCAGGCGCCGAATGCCTGGCCAGGCACGCGTCTCCTTGGCGACCGCCACACAGCGCGCGTGCGCAATCGGAAAGCTTCCGCCCAGGTGCCGCCTGGGGACTAGGTGTGCGCATGCGTGTTTCAGTCTGCGCCCTTGGCCCAGTCCGCGAGGTGCCGGGGAAGAGTGACCAGAGAGGTTAGTAGTTGGGCTGCCACTCATCTCGTGTGTCCCTGTGCCTTGTAAAATGCTGTTTGTTCTCTCCTGAAATTTTATTATCCGAGTTGCAGTCTCGTACATCTGCCTTGGCCTTTCAAGCCCAATGTGTCCAAAATAAACTTACTTCGTTGTTCTCCATCGCAGTGAACAAAACAGCTGGACAGGCCAGAAACCTGGCGGCCTTGATCTCTCCGCCACTCCCCCCAAACCCCGGGTCCTCACCCAGGCAGGGGCTGACCGCCCCGTCTGCCACTTCAACGTCTGGACAACCCCCACACGGTCTCTACTTCCAAACCCTCCCCACAAATTCTGTACCTGCACAGCTGCTAGAACTAATTTTTAAAGACAGTGGGATAATTTCACTCTCTTGCTTAGAAACCTCCGTTGGGTCCCCATCACAATTCTTATTAAGATTAAACTTCAGTGTGGCTTGCAAAGCCTGGTTTGTCTTTTCAGGTTTATTCACCACAGATTAGATATTCCAAAAATGACTGTAATAACGTCTCTCATCCCACACGCTCTTCTAGAATTCTGCCATTTCCACATCAAGAGACAGTCTTAACGCCACTGTCCTTCGATCTGAGTGGGTTGGTTGGCTCACTTGTAACTAATACTATGCGGTGAAAGTGACACTGTGACTTGCAGGCTAGGTCACAAAAGGTACTGCAGCACTACTTTGTTCTACCTGCTCCTGGAGACCAGGGCCTCCTGATACCCTGAGCCCACTGTGCTGTAAGGGAACAAGTAGACCACATGGAGAGACCCTGAAACTCTGTGAAGGCAGGTGCCCCCAGCTGCTCCAGCCCCCAGCGGGAGAGACCCCCAGGCCAGCCCTACCCTAGCCTTTCCTGAATTCCTAATGGTGTAATTACTGCATTTTAGTGTGATTTAGTTGGGTAACAATAGATAAGTGGAACATCAATCTTGGATTTTTGCCGTCCTAGTGTGTATGAAGTTGTATTTCCCCTGTGGTTTTAAGTGCCATTTCCCTGATGACTGATCATCTTGAGCACTTTTATTTTATTTATTTATTTATTTTAATCTTCACCCAAGGTTATTTTTCCGTTTATCTTCAGAGTGGGAGGGAAGGAGAGAGAGAGAGAGAAACATGGATGTGAGAGGGACACATCAACTGGTTGCCTCCCGCATGACCCCAACCGGTGCCGGGGACGAACCACAACTGAGGTACGTGCCCTTGGCCGGAAAGGAACCCAAGACTCTTTGGTCTGGGGGCCAAGGCTCTAATCGCTGAGCCAAACTGGCCAGGGCCATCCCTTTTCCTATTAACTTACTTGTCACTTTTGGAGAAAATCAATTAACTGTATATGTGTGAATTTATTTCTGGACTCGATTCTGTTCCTTCCATCAATCTTTCTCTCTATAATAATACTGATGGGGAGGGGCACATAATAGAAATGAATTACAGTTGTTTAATAGCTATTCACTACACTAACAACTGAAAAGAGATTTTTCTTACAGACCCTGGGAAACTGGAGACGTTACAAGAAGAAAAATAGGGCCATAAACATAAGGCAGCCTTGAAGCCCAGATGGGTCCATTACTCAGAAAAGAAGATACATTTTAAGTGCAGATTAAGGACAGAACCTATCTAAAGGGAGACAGAGTTCTCAGGCTAATCTTTGCAAGGACAATGATAGAAAGCAGACCGTGAGAACTCACTTGTTTTAAATTTTTTCCCACCCTCTAACCCTATATAAGGGCTGGCTTGAAATTAAATGTCAGAGTGGTCTTTCCAGAGTATTGCACCTGCCGCTATCTCAAATCACTGGCCAACTTAATAATAAAAAAGCAGCACAGCCCTGGCCTGTTGCTCAGTGGTTAGAGCACCGACCAGCAGACCAAAGCGTCTCGGGTTCGATTTCGGTCAAGGGCACGTACCTCGGTTGTGGTTTGTCCCTGGCCCTGGTCAGGGTCATGCTGGAGGCAACCAGTCGTGCCCTTGACCAGAATTAAACCCATGATTTGTTGGTCCGTGGGCCAATGCTCTACCGCTGAGCCAAACCGGGGCTCTCGGGTAAGGATATTTTTTAAAAAAGCAACACAAAGATTCAACCTCATCTCTACTTATTTGACTCTAGTAATGATGGGCAGTGGGATCCTTTCTTCTGGTTTCAATACCACAATGTCCTGGTTATTGTAACTTTATTATAAGTTTTTTTGTTTGTTTTTAATCCTCACCCAAGGATCTGGCTTCATTGATTCTAGAGAGAGAGAGAAACATCGATGTGAGAGAAATATGGCCCGACAGGGGATTGAACCCACAACCTGGGTATGTGCCCTGACTTGGAATCGAACCTGAAACCCCTTGGTACATAGATGATGCTCCAACCAACTGAGCCACATTGGCCAGGGTTATAGTAAGTCTTGATATAAGGTAGTGTAAGTTTTCCAACTTTGTTCATTTTGAAGATTATTTTGACTGTTTTAGAGCCTTGGCTTTTCCATATACATTTTTAAAAAATCTTGTCTATTTCTTCAAAACAGTCTGCTGGGATTTGGATGGGGGTTCCATCTTATACTCAATAGTGGCAGTCATGAGTACTGATCCACACACAGGCACACATTGCTCTGTAGGGACCCTGCTGTTCTGTGTGTCCTCAGTCTTCTCATCCACTAAGTGTGGTAGGCAGCTAGACAGACATGAGTGGAACAAGGACAGTGGGCCAGGCCAAGGTCACCAGGGTGGGAAGCCCCAACTGCCTAGCAAGGAATAACTAGGGTGGGACCTCGTCCCCAGGGTGACCTTTCCTCCCCTAGCATATCACTGGTCATACAGTTTGGACCCCCTGACCTTTCCTCCCTAGAGATAACATCTAGGCCTCAGTGGTATTTCAGCTCCAGGGCCAGAAAAGCAGCAAAACCAGACCGGTGACCCCATAGCGGACCTCAGGACCAGCTGAGGTCTGCTCCCCCTCCCCCTCTCCTCAGGCATGTCATCTTTACCTTCCTCACTTCTAAGCTCCAAGGACCCTTCTACAGCTTGTTTCCTAAGCCCATTTCTTCTACGAATCACTTCTTCTACCTCTGTGATTGTCTAAATAAATGTTCTCTTATAGTTTGAGTCTTGGCTGTGAATTCTTTCCTAGCCAGAACTCAAGTACCAAGGTGGCTAAACCCAGGTCTGGCCTGACCCCTGTGGTCTAACACCTGGTACCATTCTCAATGCCCCCAACACATGTCCGGCACAGTCTGCATATAGCGAGTGCTTGGAATCTACCCCTTGCCTGTCTGCTTTTGTCCCTAGGAGCTTAGTGAAATGTAAATGACAGAAGTCCTCTGTGCAAATGACCACCTGCTAGTGGAGATGTCTAGGGTTTGCTTTCCAGATGCCCTGCCCTACTCAACATGTGCTTATAGACAGGTGCCTGTCTTCCCTCTCAGCGGGTCCTCCTTGCCTGGATACCCACCTGGCAGGAGGCAGCTTGACCATTTCTCTTTCGATTTTAGTGAAGGTTGATCAAGGTTAATGTTGAGCTAGCCAGTCAGCTTTGAAAGAGAAAATTCATATCCAGCAAAGGAATAAACTCTCTTACTTGATAGATGAGTGAACAGACAGGTGCAAAGTGACTTGCTCAACCTCTTAATGCTAATTAGCCACCAAGTGGGGCCTGGAATCCATCCCTAGTTCTACAAATCTTGCCAGGAGAGCCATCGGTTTTACAGTGATGTTCATTGACCAACAGAAGAGATCATAGTCTCTTCAATGTGTGTTGTCGCTTCCTTATTTAAACTTTCTCCTTGTGGTCTAATTGGATGTTATTGTTCTGAGCAAGTAAAAGCCAAGGTTTCCTTTTCACTAAGGACCAAGGGTTTCCCTTTAGTTCAGCGCTGATACGGGCACACCTTGGGGAGAGCTTACAGCTTTGTCTCTTCCTGCTGCCTGCTCAGCCGGGGCCTGTCCAGCTGGCCACGGTGCTGGTCCCTGCTCTGTCCTCCCCACTTTCTCCACGCTGCCAGTTTCTTCCCCAAGGCGGATGCACAGTGTCCACTCTTCAGCAGCATCAGCCTTAGACGGGCAAGTGGGGACCCTGCTCTGGACCTTGTGCTTCACAGAACCCTGCTCTGACTCTGCCCCAGCTATACCCCTCCCTAAGCGACAGGACGTCTGTGGAGTCAAGGGTCCTGTCCACCCAGCAGCCATCTCCCACCTCCCCACTTGTAGCCCACAGTCTGAGTACCTGACACCTTGAAATTTCTTGCTCCAATGTCCCCAGCCTGCTGGTTGGGCCTCTCTGGGCCTCTTTCCTGAGTGCATCCTCCTTAGTAGCTGTAGGCCAAGGGCAGTATAGATGGGAACCCAGCAGGCTGGCTGAGGCGTCCAGACCTGTGCATTGAAAGGTCTTCCTCGTGTAGAAAGGAGGGAGGACTGGGGAGAGGAGGGAGCAGGCCATGGGCTGGGCACAGAACCCCAAGAGCCCGAAGAGCAAGATTCAGATCTGGCCTTCCAGACTGTTATGGAGGCCTACTTGTCAAGGTAGGAAGATAGTACATATTTTATTTAACAGTATGTCAATTTAATTTATAACTTTTACTATTTAGACATATGGTACGTGGGCCTCCCTTTCTACTCTTGCCCCAGGCTTTGCAACTGTTAAGAACAGGCCTGCTGTTCATTTTTCCTCCTTTCAGAAGCCACTCCAAACACTTCCTGATTTTCACGTCATACTTCATAGTACTTCAGGGAAAAAAGGAAAGAGAAACCCTACAACCAGTTCAGTGAACTGCGCGGTGTCCATCGGTGGGCCACCCAAGGGCTCCCGAAACAGAGTGAGGCAGCTTGGTTTAGGCTGATCTGGGACCAAGGCCAAGAGTGTTAGTGGTGAAGCAGGATGAAAAGGGTTTGCTAACACCTCCTACCCTCCCTCACTTCCCTCCTGCCCCACTGACCTCCTTCCTCACTGTCCAGCGTGTCAGC